AGTTTGACACTGACCAGAACCTAATTGTCCTGAGGGCTTAATGATGAGGAAGTGGTGGTGCAGTGTGTGCAAAGGTGGAGGGACCTGGTCAAAGGAGGCAAGTGAGTCGTGCTGCGATGAGACTGGACAGAGCTGGCTTGAATTAAGGAAAAAGCCGTATTAAAGAAATGACATTCCTGTGGCTACATGGGCTGCACACTGTGGGGGACAGGGGACAGGAACCCTGCCTCATTCACTCATTCATCTCTGTCCCAGTGTTGAGCTTAGACCTGATCAGAAACAGCTGGCCTAGCGAGAATCTGAGCAAGGACCCCTGGCAGTGACTGTAAGGCCCAGCCCCTGCCCCCAGCAGGACAGGAGCTGGGGAACTGCATGGCTGGGTGTCACCAGCTCCGGGTGGGGCTGAGCAGTCACTGTGCAGACTCCCGGTGCTGCTCGGGTTCCCAGGAGGCTCTCAGAGGCGGGGGGCATGGGGAGCTTTGCAGGCTGTGGCCTGGTGCCAGCGGGTAACGTTTGGGCAGGTGGACCTGGGGAGGCTGAGAAGGCACTGCTGGTGCTCAGACACGCAGAGCACTGTGTTTCTACGGAGTCCCCTGAGGAAGGGGTGGGAAGGCGGCAACATTCACCTGTGAAATTGGTTCCTTCCCACCACCCAAAGCTTGAAAGATGGCCCTGAGCAGCTTGGGTAGAATTCGGTGCAATTGCCCAGCAGGGCTGCTGAGGTCCCTTTGGGTCCCCTTCAGGTGGCAGGTGGCCTGTGGCTTACTCTGAGGCAGTGCTCAGACGCACAGAGAGAGAGCAATGTTCCGTGTCTGGTCCTCCAGCTGGGATCGCTTCAGAGGGTAGACAGGAAGGGGAGGAGCATGAAAGGAGGAGATGGGGGCGGGGCTCAGAAGAGTCTACCAGAACAGCAGCTGTGCTGGGGAGTTTGTGTGTGGCCTGTGGGCCCATGAGACAGAGATGCCACTCCTGGGAACAAGAGCTAGGCTGGGGGCTGCTCCATCCTAGGCCCAGCGCAGACCCAAGCTGCCAGCACCTCTGTCAAAGGGTCAAGACATGAACTCTGAGCCAGACAGACCTAGTGCTGGTACTTCCTTGACATACAGTCTTAGGCTAGTAAACTTACCTGTAAACGGGAATAATAATAACACATCCTGCCTCAGAGGCCTGATGAGATATGATATATGGAAAAGCCTGATACAGATATAGTTCAAAGCCCATGGTAGGAGAAGATATGGGGGAGATTTGGGGTTGTCTCGAGCCCTATTTTACTGTAGTTGGTGGGCACAAGTCTGAGCTAGTGGCTCCTCAGAGAGCCTCCAACCCATTATACAGATGGGAAAATTAAGACCCACAGAAATTTGCCAAATGAGGAATAAAATATAGACTTCTTCTCCCTGGAGCTGCCTCACTCTCTGGTGGCAAGAGCAGGACCCCCATATACAGGCTGGGCCACCATCTTCTGAAGCTCTCCCTCGTGACTCGGCCTTGACCTGGGTGGCTAAAGGAATCCCTCCCAGGAAACTACTGCCTCTCTTAAATTATTAGTATTACTTCCCCATAGACCAGGCCTCCCAGGGACGAGGCCCAAACACTGACATGATTTATAACTTCATGCAAACCTCCTGCATTGCTTTCATCAGAAGGAGCAAGAACTCCAGACATAAATGATTAATCCATTAAATTAAAAACACCCTCGACCTCCCCACCCTTCAGACAAGTAACAATTCATCCCCCAAAAACGCAATAATCACCTCCCGCATCTGTTGACTTCTCCCACGTGGTGCTTTGGTGAATGTGCCTCTTACTTGGGACACGTTCGTGCTCCTTCCACCTCGGGAGTGACCGATGCTTCCCAAAGAACATGGGCCTTTGTGTCATGTTTTCAACATTTTCACTGGAAGGCTTGGCAAACTTTTTTAAATGAAGGTGTTTACACAGGACATATTAATCTCAAATGATTTTTAGTGCACAAATTACACCAAAGAAGAGGGGAGGTCAGGGCCCCCCCCAATAAAAACAAAAACAGTCGGGTCCTTGCCTTGTTGTTGGCAGAAAGCTGATTCTCCCCTTCCCCCCCGCCCCACCCCCCTCGGGGCAGGCAGGATGCTTTCTCCGTAGCAGGACAGGGCCCTGTCCAAGTGGGGCTCAAGGGCACCAGGTCTTTGATGCCTCACTGCCCGGGGCTCTCCTCGGGCTCTGCCTGTCCTGGCAGGAGGCTGGACCCAGAGCTCTGGCTCTGGTAGGAGGCCCAGCTTCTGCCTGCGGTGAACAGGTGCTGGCTCAGACCCCGGGGCCTGTTGCACCGACGGCAGGCTCCGTGGTGCCTCATCGCATGTGAAGGGGACAGTTTGGTCCTGGAGGCAGTGGTGAGCTCCCACCCAAGTGATGGGGTCATTTTCTTTAACATCCTTGTGCTAGTTTTCCCCTTAGCGGGTAGTCAGGTCAAGGCCAGATGAGCTCTTCAGTGGATCTCCTAGGTTGCCGGGGGGCCTAGGCCTGTCTGCGAGGCCGCTTCCCACCGCTGCCCTGGCTGTGCTTCAGTTTCCAGTCTACACCAGTCCTTCAGGAAAAAGAGGGGAGGCCTGGCCACCGGGGCCCAGAGGGGCAACAGCAGCCACCTGTCCCCGTGAGTCCACACTCCACGCATACAGACACACACACACACTCCTGCACAGTGAGCCGGTCCTGCCTGCCTCCCCCCATGCTCCAGCCCCGTGAATGCTTCTCGCTTCCCCAACACGCCTGGCCTCCTGACTCCCCACCGCACACTGTTCCCTCCCTGAGAATGCTCCCCACCACACACACACTTTGCTGCCAACTCCCCTTTTCCCTCAGATCTCAGTGTCGTCATCACTCCGTTCATTCAGCGGAGATTTACGGGGTTTTTACATGCCACTCACCAGGCTGAGCACTAGAAGCATAGCTGTGAACAGACCAAACTCTGCCCTCATGTATGTGTCAAAGGGCGAAAGGTACTAAGGAGGAAATTTCTAAAAACAGGGATAAGGAGAGTCAGCTAAACGGTGGGGCTTTTCGACAGGGTGGCAAGTGAAGGCCTTACTGATGCCGTATGGAGGGAGTGCCTGAGCCAGGAGAGCCGGCATCTGTGGGCGGTGTGGGAGGGGGCCCGGCATGGGGACCTGTGGCGTTCCCTTCAGCTCTCTACCCGGAGCCACACAACCCAGTCTCTTCTCAATGTTGGGGTCACCAAAGGAGGAACGCACGAGGCCAAATGGTAAGGGATTATAAATGTATTAGGTCATCTGGATACCAGATGGGCTGAGCCCCAAAATGGCACCAGCCCCCAAAGACGGGGAGTCACAGGTTTTTAAAGGGCTCTAGACGAGCTTTTTCTGGGCGGTGAATTCTCTGTGCAGGTCCGGATTCTGGGAAAGTCCGGAGGGGAGAGCTGATGGTCTTAGCAAGTGGGATGTCCATTGTGAAGTGGCCTAAAGGTCAGTTCCCAGGGGAGAGGGTATCAATTCAATTATTTGATCAGACCTAACACTCAGACAACTCCAGTCTGCTCCTCGCCGCCCTCCCTCCCCCGCAGCCCAGAGTGAGTGGCCACGAGTGCGATCTTGCGCACTGACCCTGTAAGAGGGCACCTGGGTTTCTAGCAGACCCCAGTCTCCCTGGCAGACAGCCTTCCCGCGGACCTTCACAGCCGGATGTTATGTGGGCTTCTCTCCCTAGCTCTGCTGCTCTGTTCTGGGGGCCCCGCGTGGAGTTGAGACCCGGCGCTCCTCAGGGGGAACCTTTGCAGCTGAGATACCCCCCAGAGTCCCAGCCCCTGCCCTTGGGAGCAGGGCCAGCGCGTCCCATGTCTCTGCCCTTCTATAGTCTCCATGCGGCGTCTTCTGTAAATTCTTGGTTACAAGACTTTTTCTTTTTCACAGATGCCCCCCTTTCTCCCCAGTCATAAGACTTCTCTTCAGCTAGCCTTCAGCTGGTCATTCAGGATGATTGCTCTATATTTTAGTTGTAATCCAGTTTGGTCCTGGGAGGACGGGACTGTACCTTCCACCTCCTCTGCCTTCATCTTGCCCTGGGATGCTGTCTCTCATTGGACAATAGGAGCTTCCAGACAAGTAGCTGCCCACTTCAGGAAGAATCCATCCCCCGTCATTCCAAAGGAAGTGTGATGCTTTTGTTTCATTCAGTTTAATAGCCAGGTGCCTTTACACACGCTCTCACGAACCCGTTTTGGAAATAAGTAGAGTAAAATGTGTGAGTAGGGAAGAGCCCTCAATTCCCCTGAAAAATGGTAATTATTTTATCTCCTGGGCCCAAAGCTGGGGGTAGGATGGAAGGTCCTCCAGACAGTCTCCACTTCTTCCGGGTACCTCCCCACAGACAGCCCAGGTAAGAGAAGCCTGCGGCCTATGGAGGGTGACGCCTTGCCCACACATGCTCAGCTGGACTGCAGGGCCCACGGCCGAGTCAGCGTTAAGGAGGGCACACTCGCCTTTCACCCGTGTTCCAGGGATTGAGAAGGGGAGCAATAAAAATGACCCACTGGAAAATCAATGGATTGCCCGGAGCCGTGATATAATGAGTAGCCCTGCCAGTCAGTGCTCATAAGTGCTTTGTGAAGCACTTCCTGCAAGACATAAGCCTCTGTCCAATGGCTTGCTGATAACAGAAATAATATATCTGAATTTTATTCATTCAGAAATAAATGTCAGTGGCTATTGCTCTTCACATGTAGCAGCTGAACCACATTAAATATTTGGTTGTCTTCCTGATCATATTTAGAATAATGATGAAAGCCATGAATTACAGGGTAGGAAGCCTGACGTGTTTGTTGCCTGCAATCCGTTTTATAGCTTTCTCTTAGGGCTTGAGTTGCTGAATAGGATGGTTGCAAACTGCTTACAAAGACAAGTGCGGAGTTGCCTCTCAGCTCACCTCCCTGGAGCAGGGTTTCGTGGCTGGACCCCAGGCCCGGGGCCAGGTGAGGGCCTTCTCTTACCGGCACTGGTTCTTACCCACAGTGCCACCAGTCATCCGCGTCTACCCGGAGACCCAGGCACAGGAGCCGGGGGTGGCGGCCAGTCTGAGGTGCCACGCAGAGGGCATTCCTATGCCCAGAATCACTTGGCTGAAAAATGGCATGGATGTCTCAGCCCAGATGTCTAAACAGCTCTCCCTTTTGGGTAAGAACCGCCCTCGATGTCTCTGTGCTATTCCCACCAAGTTCAAGCTGACACCCTCCCCGGGATGGAAATGAGAGGCGTGAGTTGATTCTAAGTCAGACATGTTGGAGTGAACAGATGTCTCCCCAGGCTGTTCTTCTCCCTGGGCTCCCACAGTCTCGTGGGCTTTCTGAGGGCAGTGATGAGAGGCTGTCAGTCAGGTCCCGGGTCACCCTCAGTTCACTCAGGTGTTCCGGCCCTTGGTGGGTGACTGTCCGGGATGCTGGCTACCCTCAGCCCTGCTGAGGGGCTCTGTGTTTTTAATGCCTACACAGAGAATGGGGAGGGTGGAAGGGGGGTCTCGGCTGAGCGGGCCACGCTGAGCACTGTCCTTTCCGCAGCCAATGGGAGCGAACTCCACATCGGCAGCGTCCGGTATGAAGACACAGGGGCGTACACCTGCATTGCCAAAAATGAAGTGGGCGTGGACGAAGACATCTCCTCCCTCTTCATTGAAGACTCAGCTAGAAAGACCCGTGAGTCCACTCTTGCCTTTGAGCTCTTCACTGAGCTGGTGGGATGTGCGGGGTGTCAGGGAGGGAAGTAACTAACCAGGGCCAGAGCTGTCAACCATGAGCCCCTGAAGACAGGTAACACCCATATCCATCTGGGCTCAAACTGGGGACGGAGGCTGCCCAGAGGGGAGCACACCTTCCCTGACTCTAGAAACATAGAGGAACTCTCTGGACAGCAGACAGAGCCCAGGACCACAGGAAGCTCACATATCCTGGCCCCAGTTCTGCTTCCTACCTGCCCTGGAACCCCTGCCCTCATTAACAAAACGCCCCCTACTATCCACCCACCAGGGGCCACTGTCCCACGTGGCCCAGGGACTGGCTATGCACACCAGCCTTTATCCAGGGATGTCGCCCACCTGGGTGCTAAGGGTGCTCTCCCTTGTGGCCACCGCTCCCCAAGTGGGTCCGCTGCTGTGATTTCAAGGACGTGGGTGCTGGCCATGGTCTCATTCCGTCAGTCACAGTTTCATATGAGTCTTTCCCAGCAAGGGAGGTCCTCAGACGTGTTTCAGATAAGGAGGATCCTAGTTGAAAGTCGGAGCTCTCCTGGAAGTAATCCTGCGCGTCTGAGAGAGAGGTTGCTGCCTCTTTGTCACCCTGGGAAGTAGAAAACCCCATTAGCTCCTTGGATCCTGGGACCTGATGTCAAGGATTCATTCAGAATTGAGAGGGTCCTGAGACCCGGACGCATTTGTCCATGTGCACAGTCCCCAGGGCGGCCGCGGGAGTCCGTGGTGCCGTTCTGTGCACTCGATGGCAGATGTTCTCGAACTGACACTGAGGAAGGTTCTCACTCTGCTTTCTTCTCTTTTCCTCCCCTCCGCCGGCTCCCGCTCTCCCAACTCTCCGCTGCTGCAGTTGCAAACATTCTCTGGCGCGAGGAAGGTACCAGCTCACTCGTTCTGTGTTGTGTCTGTGGTCACGTGTGTTTGTAGTTCCAAAACAGGCCATCTTTCCATGAGCGCCAAACAGTCCCACAAGCGGGGTTCACGTGCCAGATCAGACCGGAGCGGGGAGGTCCAAGTCAAACTCGGGTGGCGCACCCTGAGAAGCAGATTTCACACCCGCTAGTGTCTTTAATGGTCACCAATGCATTAGAATTTAGAAACGGAAAGTAGCCATTTCAAGCTCATTGAAACCTCCACCGGAGGGGCCCACTCAGCAGGGGCTCCTGATCAGATCTGGGCCTTAAACTTTTCTCCAGCAGCTGGTATTGGTGTTGGGGTTTAGCATATACTCTGAGGAAATGCTGAAGGAGAAAGCTACGGTGATTTCTGTAAATTTATATTTATTTACATGTATGTTTTTAAATGACTAGGCATTTAAAATTTGTATTAGCAAGCAATCTTTAAACATTAGATTGGGCCATACAAAATTGCGTTTTTGTACATCAAAACTGGCCTAATATGGGAAGTAGAAAACCACAGTTTCATCTGGTTCAAAAAATAGCAGACTCTTGATGCTGCCTGACCCTAGCTCCTAGCCATGAGGCACCCAGAGGGCTTTTGCTCTGCGTCTTTAAGAGGTGGTGTTTTTCTAAGGAGGTTACTACAAAGGGACCCAGAGAATGCAGGGGGCCCCAGGGGTGTGAAGTACAGCTAGGGAGGCCCACTTAAGACCTACGCTGCCCAAGAGCTGGCAGGTGCTACACTAATATCAGACAACCCAGCAGCAAGCACTTCCCATCATGCCTGGGCAGCTGGTACCCTTCACCGCTAAGACTCAAGGCCTGGAGATAGGAAAATGCAGAGGCCAGAACAGAGAGGCAAGCTGGCCGACCGACCACAGGGCGCGCTCAAGTCTGCCCAGAAGTGAGGTGATGAGAGCACACAAAGCAAGGAAAGCCCCTTGCTGCCCCCTTAGCACAGTGATGGCGAACCTATGACACGCGTGTCAGAGGTGACACGCGAACTCATTTTTTTGGTTGATTTTTCTTTGTTAAATGGCATTTAAATATATAAAATAAATATCAAAAATATAAGTCTTTGTTTTACTATGGTTGCAAATATCAAAAAAATTTCTACATGTGACACGGCACCAGAGTTAAGTTAGGGTTTTTCAAAATGCTGACACGCCGAGCTCAAAAGGTTCGCCATCACTGCCTGAGTAGAAGCTAAGCCCAGACAGAACCTTCGGCGGGATGGGGCAGTCGATCACGAGGCTGGGTCTCCTATGAAGCCGATTGTTTGTTGCGTGTTTGTTTAGTCTCATGTTCCATTGCCAACTATGAGCAAGGCCCTGCGCTCAGCCTGAAATGTAGCTTCAGCTGCAGACCCCGTGGAGATTCTGTTAAGCCTTCAATCTTACCTTGGTCCTTCCAACCATCGATTTTCTGAGAAGCCCCAGGGGGCTGTTCCTGGGGCCTGTTGTTGAGCAAGGACTGTGGCCCCCTTGGCCCCCGAGGTGTGAGTGAGAAGTTTGCCAGGGGAGAGGGGACAGAAGCAAAGGTCCTGCTGGGGGCTGAGAGCCGGCTGAGACTCATGGCTTGTCTGACTCCCAGGGGCAGGCTTCCCAGCACCCAGGCTCCCCTCGGCAGCTGTGCAGATACTCCTGGTCAATGCCGGCTTTGAGAGGCGGGGTCAGGCTGTTCGCCATGGCAGGAACCCTCTTGCCTAGAGCCCTTCTCAGCACAGAACCAGAGGTAGTCGAGGCTGCTTCATGGACTCAGGGACCTCTGTCCTCACTGGGAGCCGCAGACACTGGTGCCGTCACCATGGGCCTGACGCCCCGAAAACTGCCTGCAGAGTCATTGGCAGCAAATGGGATGGTGATTCCTATTTGCCTGACTTGTTGTTTTCTAACTCACTGAAAACTTCGCCAGACAAGTTTTTAAGAGGTGGTGTTTTTCTAAGGTGAGGTTACTGCAAAGAGACCCAGAGAATGCAGGAGGCCCTGGGGGTGTGACATGCAGTTACAGAGGCCCACGTGAGAGGGGTTCAGAGTTCGGGCGGGGTCCACCCATGCACAGCACCCTAACCTGGCTCCCTGCAGAGCCCTCTGTGCGCTGCACATCAAGGCACTGGTGCTCTCTGCATGCGAGGAAAGAGTTCTCCGCATATTTATTTAATATATTTCATTTTTTCAGAACTTATAGAAATCTCTTTATTGTACTACCTTCAAAATATATGAAAGAGTGGGGAGAAAGTGGGAGGAAGAATTCCAACCTTACCCATCTCTGTGCCAGGTTGGCCTTTTATGGAGAGGCAGAGTGAGGGGACACTCTGAGCGGGGCTCAGGGTCTAACCCCAACTCTGGCACAAAGGCAGGTGGCCTCCTTGGACCTCAGTTTCTTTGTCTTTGAAATAAGGAGGCTACACTAGTTGGGGGTCCCCAAGGCCTTTTCTTCCCAGACGGCCGAGCCCTGGGCCGGGTGAGGGCAGGCAGGCAGACAGGCACGACCAGCTGTGGGCTCTATCACCTGGCGCGAGCTGCCATGGAGACACCGCTGGGGCAGAGGTGGAGCCCGCAAACTGAGTCCCTGGGACTCAGTTTGGACCGAGGAGCACCTGCCACAGCATTCTTAGGGCCCCACATTCCAGGAAGTGGCGCTGCACCTAAATGTGTTCAAAGTAAGAGCCGTTGCTTTGGGGGAATCGTCTCATCCATCCTGAATTTAGTGGACAACGAACGGCCAGGAGGCTTTGCCTTTCAGGACAGGAACGGTCACATGTATGTCAAAGCCACGGCTGTCGTTGATTTGAAAGCCTGTGTTGGTGGCCACTCTGCTTGACTGGTGTGCATGTCTGGGAGGACACCCGGGGACTGCAGGGCCCTCTGTGTGCTGTTCTGATGGACAGCCCTCGGGGCACCTTCTCCCGTGCTCCCCTCACCACCTGCTCATCTCACCTCACCCCACCTTGACCAGGACTTGCACTGCGTGCCTGCACCCCATGCACCTGAGCTGCAGTTTTGTGTGCGCCCGATGTGGCATGTGACCCCACGGGGGGCAGGGGGGATGGTAGCTGCTTGAGGGACATAACCATGGCTGTGTTTGCTCCTCCCAGGCCTCAGTGTGGGAAACATGTTCTATGTCTTCTCCGATGACGGCATTATCATCCTGCACCCCATGGACTGTGAGATCCAGAGGCACCTCAAACCCTCTGAGAAGATCTTCATGAGCTATGTAGGTTCCCACGCCCAGTCAGTCTCTCACCTCGGGTGCCATTTGATTCTTAAATTCCATCTACTGTACGTGGTGTGGTTCCAATGTGTCCCAAGGCTCAAGGAACACGAGGCTGAGCATGTATATGCCCGTTCCTTCATCAGGCAGCCACGTCCACGCACTGAGCCCGAGGGGAGGCCCAGGCCTATGAATGGGTTCCTGGCCTCCCCAAGTTCACAGCTGCCCAGTAGGTGCTGTTAGAGGATGTGCCGGGTGCGCTAGAAATTGAGGAGAGAAGGCCCCTGGGACACGGGATCCCTGGGCTCAGTTTTGAAGAACGAGTCAGAGTTGGTGGCAGGTTTCTGGAACAAATGTCATGAACATAGAGAGTAGAGGATAAAATATGTCACGTTCAGGGAACGGAAAGTACTCTGTGTGCCTAGAGGGGAGGGTGGGTGTGGGAAGGGCCTGAAATTGGGAAGGCGTTCTAATGGTACCCTAAAGCTCTGGGAACCCCTGAAGGACTTCAGACAAAGGGTGGCCATGATCAGGAACACATGCAAGACCTCAGGGAGGGCAGTGGTCCAAAGGGCTGGCCTAGAAGCACAGAGGGGTGAAGAGGTCATTGTAATTGTCCAGGTGGGAAGGTGGTGTCCTGGTTAAGCCCATGGCAGTGGGGAAGGGGAGAACTGCATGGACTTAGAGCTGGTCACCGGTAAAACCACAGGGGACCTGAGGGGAAGCCAGAGTCTTGCTAGCAGGAGGAGGGTGCCAGACACCCCATGGGAGGGTTAAAGTGGACCGACCCTCTTTCTAAAGTGCTGGTGAGTAGGAAGTTGGTGCATCCTCTCTCATCCTCTCTGCTGGATTAGATGTCCATCCACTTTGTTCAGCGGGAAGTAGCAAGTTTAATTGGTAAGGGCACAGGCTGCAACCGAGGGACGTGCCCTTGACCGGAATCGAACCCCTGACCCTTCAGTCCTTGGGCCGACACTCTAACCACTGAGCTAAACCAGCTAGGGCGGTCTCAAAGTTATTGGTCCAAGGAAGTAAAGCAATGGAGATGTCGTTGTTTTTTTAATGGAATGAGCAGGGCTGATGGTAAAATTGAGAGTTGATTTTGGACTTACATGTCTGAGATGTTCATTAAACAGTCAAGTCAAGCTAAATAGTTGGCTGTATAAGTCTGGAGCTCAGGGAAGAGGCCTGAGCTAAAGATGTAAATTTGGGAGTTGTAGGCATATAGACTGTAGCTAAGGCCATAGGTTTGGGTGAGATTAACTTTAGAGAAGAAAAGTTATTCAGGGTGAACTCTGCAGGATCCAACAACAGAAAAGGCCCAGCCATGGGGTGGGATGGAGGGAGAAGAACCAAGGAGTAGTCAGATGGTGCCCCAAGTTCAAATAAAATGATGGCCAGGGATTCATTTACAACTGAGGAGTCAACACTGACCTTGGTGAGAACACTCCCAGCTTCGTGGTGAGTTCAAAAGCAGAGGGTTAAGGAGCATATGAGAGGTGAGGAAGCAGAAAAGTGTAGGGAACTCTTTCACACGTCTGGCCATTAAGAGACGTTTTTAAAATAATGGCGATGAGGACAAAGAGAAAGTAGCACAAAAGAGTGGAAGACTGTGCCCTGGAAGCTGCTGATTAAGAGGCTGCAGGGGGAGGTACAGCCTCAGAAGAAGTGGGAGGAGGGGAAATTGGTGAGGTGGGGGGTTGTGTGCCATGTTCTGTGAATCCTAAGGTTTCTGAGTGTGGCAAGAAAGGGACCGAGGAGAGTCAGGGGAGAGGGAATCCCGAGAGGTCGGGGGCGGGGGGTAGGGGGGGCGGGATTAAGAAGTATACATGGTAGCCTATCTCCTTCACAGGAAGAAATCTGTCCTCAAGGGGAAGGGGACGCCACCCAGCCATGCCAGTGGGCGTCAGCAGTGAACGTCAGGCACCGGTACATCTACGTGGCCCAACCGGCACTGAACAGAGTCCTCGTGGTCGACGTTCAAGCCCAGAAAGTCCTGCAGGTACACCTGTCTAAGGGAGTGGGGCACAGCCTGCCAAAGTCGTCTTTGCTTTCTGCATCCTCTCCGGCTACTGTGAGGGCAGGTCAGGCCGGAGGGGAAAAGCAAAGGGGGTTCATGTGCGGTGGTTCAAGTCTTTACTGCCTACCAGGTGCCATGCACTGTGCTAGGTGCTTGGAAAACAGCCAAAGATGAGCAAGGAAGTTCTAGATCTTATATGGTAGTTGGGGAAACAGACCCTAAATCAGAATGTTAGGGAGTTTTAAATAGTAAGTGCTCGAGGCGAAATGTGCTAGAGGAACTGGAAGATGATTTTAAATTGGCTCTGGAGAGGAACAGAATCTGAGATCTAAATGCCAAGTGGGATTCCGATCCTGGGAACAGAGGGAAGGCCAGCGATAAGGGGGAGAGTGGGTGCCCGGAAGTCGCAGGTGAACAAAGGCTAATGAGGTAGAAACAGTGAGATGGAAAGCCATGAAGGGTTTGTCAGGGGAGTGACTCGATCTGGCTACTGTATTAAGAAAGGACTGGAGGAGAGAGCAGGGGTGTGGTCACTGCCAGGAACCAGGCAGGAGAGGACAACGGTGGAGGTGGTGAGAAGTGATCAGATTCGGGGTGTAGTTTAAACAGGGAGCCCCAAAGATTTTCTGCTGGGTGGAATGTGAGGTTTGAGAGAGCAGAAGCCTTTGTTTGCTTGCTTGAACTTCAGCAACTGTAGAATGGAGATGCCATTTACTGTGTGTGGTGGGCTGAACGATGGCCCCCAGGAAGCCCCCATCCTAATCACCAGAATGTGTGAAGGTCACCTCATATGGCAAAAGGAATTTAGCAGATGTTAATGAATTAAGGATTTTAAAATGGGGAGTTATCCTAGTTTAGCTGGGTGATCCCTAAATGCAAACAAAAGTATCCTTCTAAGAGAGAGGCAGGGATAAATTTAAAGAAGTTCTGCAGAGAAGGAGAGGGCAGCATGGCATATGGCTGACTTTGAAGATTGGAGAACGGGCCATGAGCCAAAGAATGTAGTTCTAGAGGCTGGGAAAGTAAGGAAATGCATTCTCCCCTAGAACCTCTAGCAGCGGTTCTCAACCTGTGGGTCGCGACCCCTGAAAATACATCCTGCGTATCAGATATTTACATTACAATTCATAACAGTAGCAAAATTACAGTTATGAAGTAGCAACGAAAATAATTTTATGGTTGGGGGTCACCACAACTTGAGGAACTGCATTAAAGGGTCGCGGCATTAGGAAGGTTGAGAACCACTGCTCTAGAGGGAGCGCTGCCTTACAGAGCCATGTTGGTTCACCCCAATGAAATTAATTTCAGACTTCTGGCCTCCAGAAACTGTAAGAGAATAGATTTGTGTTGCTTTAATCCACTAAGTTTGTGATAATGTTACTGCAGAAATCTGTTACTGATATACTATGAGAGACACTTTGAGCAAGGCTAGGGGAGTAAATTAAGAAATCAGTTTTTGGCTCTGTTCCGTTCAGGTGATGTCATATAACAAAGAATCAGTTAGATTAAAATGTCTGGAG